TTCATGAGGGTCCTGGACAGTCTACAGAAGAGGCGCATGGACACCGGCTTGTGCGCGAGGATCCGGAAGGTGTACGGGGACCTGGAGTGCGAGTACTGTGGTAAGAGCGCGCAGCGGGCGCAGCCCGTGGGCCGGTCACTCCCGCGGCCCGTGCGTCCCCGCCTCGCCTCGGGCAGCTCGTGTGTGTCTCTGCGAAGGACAGCTTCTAAACGAGCTGCCCTTCACTCGTAAGGGCAGTGGGTGGCCGCCCGTGTGGTACTTTAGCTCTTGAGGTCTTTGCCAAGGCCGCGCGCGGGGCGTCGGGACAGCTGACCGTGGGGCCGCGGCCAGGCGTGCGTGCAGAAGAGTAGCCTCGGCCTCTGCCAGAGCTTAACCGGGAAGAGTCTTCTGGCGCAGGACACGTTTAAAGTAGAGCCTCAGGTTGTGGCCGTGTTCTGGATGAGTGGAGAGAGGTTATGAAAGTGGCTGCAGCTCTTTGTAGAGAGGCCCCGAATAGAACCTTCCAGTCACAGTGCATGTCCGGCCTCTGGGTCTCCTGGAGAGCTGGCAGCACAGGAAGCAGGAGGTCCGGCTCTGGACTGGGTGTCCCCGGTGTCAGTAGAGCTCAGGGACTCTTGATCGATGCGTAACAGTAGTCGACCCCATAACTGGTCCTCCGTTAACGTTTGTTTCCTCCTCTCCTAGCTCTGACATCAGCAAAAATAGCATCGCCCTTAATATTTGCAACCTCCCACCTTTGAGAAGTAATTTCCAGGTAGAAATGTGGTGGAAAGGGTGAAGGGTGACCTGGACAAGCAGAGAGGGAGATAAATATAGTTGTTACGAAGTGGTGATAATTAAAAAATTCAAATTCAGTATAAAAGAAACTTCCTTGTTCTCACGTGAAAATATTTTTTTAGGCAAACTTTTTTGGTACCAAGTGCATTTTGACATGCATGTCCGCACCCACACCCGGGAACATCTGTATTATTGCTCCCAGTGTCATTATTCTTCCATCACCAAAAACTGCCTTAAACGCCATGTAATTCAGAAACACAGTAACATCTTGCTGAAGTGTCCCACTGACGGCTGTGACTACTCGACTCCAGATAAATATAAGCTGCAGGCCCATCTTAAAGTTCACACAGAGCTGGTAAGTAGAAGCCTGGACGACAGCCCGTGTCCCCTGGGTGCTCATGGCTTTCTCACTTTTACGCAGACGGCGGTGTCCCTGCTTCCTTTGACCCAGTGTGTGCGCGTCCAGCCCCGAAACCAGGGGCTCCCCCTCCTGAACCAGACTTTTTACCCCAGGGCTCCTTTTGCAGGGAGGGCCTCAGATATGTTGAGAAAAAAGATTAGATTGAACAAAGTTGATTTCTACGCAATTTTCAGCTTCGGAGACAGTCTGCAGAAGAGAGAGCTACAGGATAGAAGTAAACCAAGGGTCTCTTCAACATCATTTTAAAGAATTTTTAATAGCAGGGCTGATAATAATAACAGCTGGCAGCAGAAGTTGTTGAGAGATTAAGTTAGATAATGCCTGTAAACCGGTTCATAGCAAGAGCACAGCGAATGCAGACGACTGTCATTATCAAATATCTGCGAAGCACTTGTATCTAAAAGTGGTGTGCTCATTCAAGGTGCTGTTGGTATTCACAGTGGTAAACTTGGTTTAACTCTTGGGTGGGAGACCATGTAAGACAATGAATGTTTATTTTTGCAAACCCTAATCTGACTGAAGAGGCTGGCACACCTGAGAGTGACTTGACACTTCGTAAAGTTATCCAGGAGGCACAGCTGGCCCCACCTGTGGCTCCGTTTTAAGTGCATTTCTCTTTCTGCCTCAGGCAGCACAAGACGAGCCTTCAGACATTTGATGTTTATGCCACGATTCCCTGGCATAAAAGTCACTGACACTGTAGCTCTTTTCCTGCTAAAGGTGGAGTCGGGGTGTTCTGGGCTTTGTGGGTAGGTAAGAACATGTACTTTGGGGTTGGATGCCTGCATTCAAACAGCATCTGGAGCACTTGCATAGGCTGTGTGACGGTGGGCAAGTCACTTGTCCTTTCTGAGACTTGGTTGCCTTCTGTATGAAATATGTACTAAAAAGCATCCATTTTATGCACACACATATGCGTACATGTGCACAGACATATGTACACATGTGTACGCATGTATTTTAATTGACTTTTTTCAATTATAGTTGACATTCAATATTAGTTTCAGGTATACAGCATAGTGATTAGACATTTATATAATTTACAAAGTGATTCCCTCCAGTAAGTCTAGTACACATGCACATACACACACACACACACACATACATTATGCACAGCTGTAAACCCAGTACACACATGCACACACATGCATATTTCTCTTTTAATTGACTTTTTTCAATTATAGTTGACATTCAATATTAGTTTCAGGTATACATACAGCATAGTGATTAGACATTTATATAATTTAGAGATTGCCTCCCGCAAGTCTAGTTCACATGCACATACACACACACACACACACACACATTATGCACAGCTGTAAAAACAGTACACACATGCACACACATGCATATTTCTACATGTATGTAGCTCTCCTGGAGTTACTGGAAGGTGAAGAGGCCCTGCTCTAGATAAAGCTCTCAGCGCAGGGCTGGTTTGGTTGGCTGAGTGCCGACTATCGCATGTCACCTGGCGCCACTTAGTTACATGTTCCTGTTTCCTTACAGAGTTGCCGTAAGGTCGGCATTGCTTCTGTGTCCTCTTAGGGCAGGGAACAGTGGGGTGGCAGCAGGCATTGCTGTTACTTTGCCAGGGACTCATACGAAGTCAAGAGGGAGTGAGGCCAACGCAGGAGCAGGGTGCTCGGGGCAGCCCGGGAGGGCGGCCGTTCAAACCAGGGTCCAGACTGCGCCCCGTTTGCCATACCCTTTGCCTCAGATGAGTCATACAACTGCTCTGTGCCTCAGTTTACCTGTTCTCAGGTAAGAATGAAGAAATGTACACAAATTTCTGAGAACAGTGCCTGGCATGGAGTAAGCATTTTATGCCAGTGACTGTTATTACTGCTATTATTTATTCTATTCCACTTATCATTTTCGAACTTGACGTTCTGGATTTAGAGATTTTGATACACAGGCTCAAGACTGGCAGGAACGAGGCAGCTGTAACAGAGCTTTATGATCTGGGCCCGCCCGTGTTTTCCACACCCATTTTCCTTGCCCACGGCGTGTCTCAGAGGGACTCGTGGTCCAGCCCAGCTCTTTTCTTGCCCCAGATGCTGATGCTCAGCCTCCCAGCCCCATCCTGGGGCTCATGGTCAACGGGAGCGTGGGGGACGTGCTCTGAGATCTTCAGCCCAATTCCATAGGCTTTTATTTTTCTTGGTAATCTGGCACCGAAAGAGCTTTTCCTTTTCAACTTTCTGTGGTTATGGGTCTTCCTTCAAAGAGGCTCTCTCTTCAGTATTGACGTTTGAGAAGGCGTCCAAGGAAGCATGTGTTGGGAGAAAGGAAAGTAGCAGTTGCTGTCCTTATCCTGTGGTCCAGGCCCTCGTGTGACCTTGCTGAATTCTCATGCCACCTCCAGGAGGTGGGGTCACTCCTCCACTGGGCAGAGTAGTGCCTGCTGCTGCAGGGTCCTGCGCTCAGTCGCCCACAGTCACACTGTCAGTAAAGGGCAGAGACGTAACGCACGGCCGTGTGTTTCTCCGTGACTGCCCCGTACTGCCTGTGCTGCGATGCTGGAATCATGAACCTCAGCCATGCCGTTCCTGGCAGGCCGTCTGGTCACTTGTACATCATTTGAAGGAGCGTGGTAGAGGTAGACTTTGTCCCATGAGAGCAGGGGCTGTGTTGATACTTCCCGTGCCATGCCTTACGCTACAGTGCGAGAGGGGAGCTTGGTCAGGGAATAAGGGAGCGTGGCTGGGTTCGCCTTATGGAAAAGGAGGTTATCCTGATTTTCATCAACACTCCCATTTTCTTAGAAGTTAAAGTTTAATTTCAATCTTTTTCCCCCACTGATATCTGCAATACTTCCGTATGAAACGCTTTTAAATGCTGCTTCTGAAGCTGGCCGACGCAGGCCAGAGGCACCCCTTCCTCATGCCAGGCACTGGGATTTCAGATAGAATAAGACCCAGTCCTGCCTTCGGGGTGCTCTTCGTTTGAGGAGGATAAATAAGTGGGCAGTAATGGCAGTACCGCCATGAGGGAGGGTAAGTGAGGCTGGCACAGACCACCCGGGAGGGGGCCAAGTCAAGTAAAGGAGGGCTGCCTGGAGGAGGGGTTCTAAGTTTGCTGGCCCAGGGAAGAGTCAGGGAGCAAATTCCCAGTAGAGTAGGGGAAAACATGTCCCCAACGCTTCCCTGTTGACCGTGAGCCCCGGGATGTGGCTGGGAGGCTGAGCCTTTCGCGTTTCTGTCAGGACATTGAACAGCTAAGCGTTTCCACGCAGCAGGTGGCCTGTGTTGCCAGCACAGGAAGAAAGCATCATTTAGGAGTGCGAGGTCTGGTATTTTGAGTTTAGATGACATTTGTCTTTTGAGCCTGTAAATTATTTCTGCACTGGAGCCAAAGGGACGAGGCCATGTCGACGCAGGAGGAAGGTCCTCCGTTAGCTGTCATCGCTTCCTTTCCCCGGCCCGAGCCCTGGCAGCCACTAGTCTGCTTTCTCCTCCCTAGGATTTGCCAGTTCTGGACGTTTCACGTACAGTAGTGAAGGGAGCACCGCACCTCAGGGTGCAGGGGAGGCTTGGCCAGGTAGCGTGAGCTTCGTGGTGTGACGGTGCCGTGCGGATGTCGCCCACCCGAGGACTCTGGTCAGGGAGGGGGTCTGACCTGGGCCGAGTGCTGGCTTTAGCATGGGGCTTGGTTTCCTGCCTGTGACACAGAGAGATGGGGCCAGGTGTGTTGAAAGTCTGGTGGGCTCTCCCATTGGATCCGGCACTTACCTGGCTTCCAAACAGATTCCCGTGTGGTGCAAAACTAAGGGAATTTAAAATGAAGCCCCTCCGTCACCCCCACGCCAGATGGACCTGCATCCAGGCCCATTCCAGTCGCGGTAGGACTCCAGGATCACTGGGCTCCGAAAACTGTTAGCTAAGGACGCTGATTGGAGGGTGTGCGGACACTGAATACAGTTTCTCCCCCGCTCCTCCTGTTAGTGACGAGATGGCGCGACTCACGGTCAGGGATGTCCCGGAATCAGGGAAGCGTGGGGACCTAGTCAAGGGGGTTAGTCCACGGCGTTTCTGGAGCAAACACACTTTGTACAGCGCTTCGCCAGCTTTGCGAAGGGCAGATGTGAGAGCGCACGATAGTCGTGCAGCAGCAGGGGGCTTTGGGTTCTGCCACGCTGGCGCTCACGCCTCACGTCCACCTCCGTGATCTGGGGCAAATCGCTTAGCCTCGTGGGGCCTCACTTTTCTCATCTGTAAAATGGAGATAAGGTAGTTGCCCCTCGTACCTTTCAGGGTCGTGAGGATTAAATGAGAAAATATGGGTAGGACTCCCAGTCCAGCGTGTTTTCAGTCCCCGCGTGATGCCCCGTTGGAGGGTCGTGGCATGTGTTCAGTAGGCCTCAGCTAGTACAGCTTAAAGACGAAGCGCGGTAGAGTAAAGTAGGGGTGATCGACACCGTTCATCCGTACGAAGGGTAAGTACCGTCTCCTGAGCCCTTCGTCCTTCGTTTTTGTCGCGGTATGCTACATGTCAGCGTGTGCATGCCTGTGCTGCTGGGTGGCGACGTCAAATGGGTCACCTCCCGCGAGTCCCATTAAACAAGTTTGTAAGTCACTGACCCGTGTGATGCAATTCGTGACGTCTGGAATCAGTCACGTGGGGATAATTGTTACGGATGACATTCCGGGGCTCATACCTCCATCGTAATTTGAGGGGGGACTGGGAATTTGTTAATTAAATAAGTTTCTCCTGACACAGACTTCTGAACTATCAGGAGGCGGCGCATATGGTGGATTCCCACGGTATGTCAGTCTGTTCCCTTTGTCGCTGGCTTGTCCTCCTCCGCAGACCTCACAGGTAACCGAGTGCGGATGCCGCGGCAGCCACGAGCGGGGAGTGGGCACGTGTGGCGGTGTGTCCTCATGTACCACCCGTAAGCGGTGTGGCTCCACCACTGACCTCTCTGGCCCCTCGTCTGTAAGGTGGGGGTGACAGTCCTCGCCTCCAGGCTTGCCGTGGGAATTGAGTGAGCTGACAGCCTCAGGCCCCGGCAGGTGGGGAGAGGCCAGCCCCCGGAGGCCCGTCCCTTCTCGGTGGCCGTGCGAGCAGGAGGTGGAGCTCTGGTGCTAACACTGGTGGTGGTGGGTGTCCGTCCCGCATGCCCTCGTCTCTCGAGTGTTCCACGTCACTGCTGGTGCTTGTCTTTGAGAAGCACGGGGTCTAGTTTTGACTGCAAAGGAGCATATATTTTGGAAATCTTACCCGTACTTGCTAGAAGTGAGCTGAAATTCTATATTGCCAACAAAGCACAGAGGAAGTAGCGGGAGCTACTTTCAGTATCTTTCTGGGAATAACTGAGTCAGTCTTTATTTTTTTCTTCAAAGTAGAGGAAAATGTTATTGAGCTTAAGTGTTTGCACATGAGATTTTTTCCTTCCCCAGAGCTGCAAGAGTCTGGTCTTTTCTTACTTGATCACAGACCCGTTTGTTTCTGTGTGGCCCTGTTGGGCATTTATCCACAGAGCCGGGGGCCTGGGGCCACCAGAACTTCCTGTGTCCCGAACAGCTTCCTGTTAGCATGTCCGAGGTCCCGCATGGAAGGGCCCCGGCCTGGCCAAACAGAACTGCTTCCGGTGGAGGGGAGATCCTGGAATCGAAATCCCGAACGGACACGTTTCTGGCTCTTTTCCGAGTGTTCAAATCAGTCACCATCTGAGCGTCACCTTCCTGTCCTCGCCACACTTTCTGCAGGTCCCATGATGGCTCCTGGGCTCTCTGTGTTGGCACCTCTCCTTCCTGCCTCGCTTGTGAGGCCCTTGAGGGCAGGGCCAGTGTCTCATACCTGTGTCCTTAGTGCAAAGTCCAGCACGGAACAGGAGCCCTGGAAGGTCTGAGGAACGAAGGACTGAGTCCTCAGAGGACAGCAGGTCTGGAACCGTGGCCTTCTGTTCCTGAGAACTTGTTCAGAGTGGGATCTCTCACCTTGTTAGTATCGAACATCTTACAGGTGTGCTTGCTTATACAGCAGTTAATGCACCTGGTGGCAGAGGGGCGTAGACCAAGGCGAGGTTTGCCAGAGAGGAGAGCCGGCTCCCAGCGCTGGCCCAGGGACTGCACCTGGACCCCAAGCCAGGCGGTGGCCTCTTGCTGACACCTCCTCCCTTTCAGAGTCCTGTGTTGCTTTGAAGGCCATTTCCCTCGGAGCAAACACAGTCCCAGGGCGAGGCTCGCTCTCACCATCATCGGCCCGATCTCTCTCTCCGCCTCTGCCAGGAACGCTTTGAACCACCGCTCTCTTTAAGTTTGCTGCGTCAGTTTGGGTTTTCATCTCCAGTGAGGAACCGAGGTTTTGAAAAAGGAATAAATGAGTCCTAAGAGTACACTCCTCTCCCGGCACCCTTTCCCACTGCCTGTGTCCTTCTGCGATCTTCAAAGGCATCGAGAAATAAGGGACCCTGATAAGCTCTGAGATAAATTGCTTTCAGACTATCAGAGATTAAAAGAAAAAAAATCAAATAGCAGGGGCTCAGGGGAGATCACCGCAGACTCCTTCAAAGCCCTTCTGAAAGCCCGCATCAGCTCTGATGGCGAGGGCACTGGGGACAGCGGGGCTGGCCACAGGCCTCCCCTCAGGGACGCGCGCCAGGCCCACGCGTCCTTCAGAGTGGCACTGTGAGCAGGCGTTCCCGTGTGCGCTCGCCGGGAGCGCTGGGGTGACCTGGAAGGGCCAAGGGCAAGGAGGACGGTGCCAGGAGTCTGCTCAGAAGCCTGCGCCCGTCACGTAGTCTAGGCGGAAGTCAGTGGCGTCAGTGGCATTGGCCGGGTGGGAGACTCGGGACAGCTCCACGGCAGCTGCCTGGACCCCTCGGACTCTGAGCTTGGCCGGCACTGCTTGGAACCTGGCATTCAGCCAACTGGCTGTTTTGTTTTAGACATAAAGTACCCTTTCCTAAGCGGGCTCTGGGGAACACCCCCCTCAGGGGACGAACTGTAACAGTAGCAGCAGTTAATCCACAAAGGAGTCTGGAGGAAGGAATGCTCATTGTCGGGAGGTTCCCGGGTGCATTAGCCCACAGAGGTCTGTTTTCTGTGCCGTTTTGTTATCTGAGGCTGAGTTACATGATAACAATGCTAAAACCTCAGCAACAAAGTCTTCCAGGGTTATTGAGTGTTCTGAGCACTTTATGTGTATTTCTTTTGATAAACTCATTTTTTAGAGCAGTTTTAGGTTCACTGCAAATTTCCCACATACCTTCTGTCCCCACACATGCCCCACCTCCCCGACTATTGACATCTACTCCACAGGGGTACGTTACCTACAACCGAAGAACCTACACCGACACGTCATTATCACCCCAAATCCGTACGTTTACATTAGGGTTCGCTCTTGACGTACGTTGTTGGTGTCATCCATTGTTTGGGTGAATGTGTAGTGACACGTACCCATCACTGTAGGGTCACATGGAGTAGTTTCACTGCCTTAAAAATCCACTGTGCTCTGCCTGGTCACCCTCTCTCCCCTGTGTACCCTGGCCACCAAGGACCTTTCCATCGTTTTATCGTCCCCATCATTCTGCCTTTTTAAAGATATAATATAGTTGGGATCATATAGTATGTAGCCTTTCCAGGTCGGTTTCTTTCACTTAGCGATGTGCATTTAAATTTCTTCCACGTCTTTTCATGGCTCGATAGCTCATTTCTTCTCGGTACTAAATAATACTCCATTGTCTGGATGGACCACAGTCTATCCGTTCATCTCCTGAAAGACATTTGCTTCCAAGTTGGCAGTTATGAATACAGCTGCCATGAACATCTATGTGCAGATTTTTGTGTGGACGTAAGTTTTCTATTTATCTGGGTAGACAGCAAGGAGGGCAATTGCTGGATTTTATGGTACGAATATGTTTAGTGGTCGTGAATCTCAATAAAATGCCTTCTGTGAACCCCCATGCGTTGAGTGCCGGGGGACGTGATATGTGTGGGATTGTGGAGCAGCACCGGGCTGTGTGTTCGACTCACGGTCTCGCCTGGCCCTATTCTGGCCTGGCTACCTCCTCAGGACCATCATCTGTCTCTAAGCCCCGTCCCTCCATCTGAAGTGGAGGCGATGCCATTTGCCTCCCACTCATAAGCTTGCCAGGCTGTGCGGGGCCAGATGCAGGCTGCATGCCACGGTCCGTGGAAAGGTGCACTGTGTGTCTAGCTTTGGTGCTGGTGGTGGTGGTGGAGACGGTGCTGGTGGTGGTGGTGGTGGTTTCCTCACAGAGACCAGGTTTAAACAAGACAGGCAATTGATTGTGCTCTCTTTCTGTTAAGGACAAAAGGAGTTATTCTTGTCCTGTGTGTGAAAAGTCTTTTTCAGAAGATCGACTGATAAAGTCACATATCAAGACGAACCATCCTGGTAAGGTTATGCAGTTTAGAGTGGGAGATCAATGTTAAAATCCTTATGTTTGTTTTAAAACACAGCATTACATATCAACTGCACTAAATGAAAATTCAGAGGGACGAAGATCTGCGCAAACTCAAGGGAAGCAATCATTTTGATTGAGAGCTGGGAGTTACGTAGTTATTTCCGTTTATGCATGGGGTCTTCAGATATGTCTTTCCGCAGTCTCGCGAGCCCCCTCCTTTTTTTTAACGTGACCTCCAGGTGCCTCCACCTGGTCACTTACACGGTCTGACACGGATTCCGCCCCCGTGAGCTCGTGCTGCCCGCCGTGGTGGCTCACACGGGGGTCAGGCTCCCTCCCAGGCTGAGGAGCCTCCGTGGTTGGAATGACCGTCACCTCTGACCTTTCCAGTCCCATGCCACCCAGACGCATGAGGCTTGAGCCACCTGGGCGTTCGCGCCTTGTCATTTCTTCCTCACCTTCTGGGACACGTCTCCTCCATTCCCCCTGGTTGATTCCCGTTTAATTTTCACCTCATCTCTCAGAGCCCCGCCCTGGGGGAGGCCCCCCAGGCTTCTGTCACGGTGCACGCGTCACGTGTACTGGTCGGGCGGTTGGTGCTCTCCTTGCTGCCCCCCGACATCTTGGGGGCAGGCACCCACGTATCCACAGCTCAGCTTCCTCGGTTACCTGCATGTTCCCGAGCTGGTTTCCTGTATCCGCCCCCGCCGCCAACTTGTTTTTTCTAGAATATTTTAAAGTAGATCCCGGACAGCATGTAATTTCCCCATAAACATACATTAGAATGCATCTCTAACAAAGGCTTTTTTTTTGTCGACATGACCACCATGTCCCCATTAAAGTGAGCAGAATTCACAGCAGACCCTTCTTACTACCTAGTATTAGTCCATTTAAAATTTCCGCAATTGACACTAGATTTTTTTTTTACAGTTGGTTTGCTTGAAGCACGATTCAAGCATTCAGCTTTTAGTTGTGTCAGTTAAGGTCCTCGTATTCTTACAGGACACCCCTGCTCCCTGCTTTTTTTTTTCCTATGACATTGAGTTATTGGAAAAACTGGGTCACTTTTCCTTGAGACCAGGGATCCCCAGTCCCCGGGCCACAGACCAGTATCGTCTATGGCCTGTTGGGAACCAGGCCACACAGCAGCAGGTGAGCAGCAGGCGAGTGAGCAAAGCCTCGTCTGCGTTTGCAGCCGCTCCCCAGCGCCAGCGTCACTGCCTCGGCTCCACTTCAGATCGCCAGGCTTCGGATTCTCATAGGAGCACCGGTCCCTGGTGCCACAAAGGTTGGGGACGGCCATTGTAGACGGTTTCACATTCTGCATTTGCCTGACAGTTGCCTCGTGATATTGTTTCTCCATCCCTCACATTTTATGCAAACGGATATTTAGATCTGAGACTTGCTGAGATTCTGGATTAACTCTTTAGGCAGAAATCCTATCGCATGACACCATGAGGCACATCTTGGTTTGCCACCTCTGTGCTGCTAGGATCGACCAGTGGGTCCAGGTGCTGTCCTGAGGCTCATTCACATCCAGCATGAACTGAGTCCTTAGGCTGCTTGTGATGATGACCATCCTGCTTTCTTTCTAGAGGTCTCCATGAGCACCATCTCCGCAGTGCTCGGGAGGAGGGTTCAGCTGAAGGGGCTGATTGGAAAGAGAGCCATGAAGTGTCCCTACTGTGACTTCTATTTCATGCAGAACGGCTCCGACCTGCAGCGCCACATTTGGGCTCACGAGGGTGAGTACTCTTCACGCAGAGCAGAGCATCTTCGGGTCCCTGCTTGCGTGCTTCGTGCGAGTGCGCCAGGGGAAGCCGTGGCCTCGGGGCCCCTGAAGTCGGCATTGATTCAGCACACCGAGAAGTGGGTCGTTTAGATAAGCAGTGAAGGTGCTGAGCACACTACAGTTTGTCTGTCCCACCCCCGTGCTCAGGTTCGGGCACAGCGTCCCCTCCCCCTACAGCATGCCACACTAGGTTGCAGAGGCCTTTGCGCTTGTCCACGGGGCTGGGGCTTCTCGGCTGCAAATCAGCCCTCCATGTTTACTGTGAAGTGGGGTCTGCTGATGTTCGTGAGTGGAGGAGGGCGCTGGATGCCAGGAAGCCCCACGTCCCTGTCACGGCCCAGCGACTAGCGTTGGAAAGCTCTGCTGATTTCATGCAGTGAAATACGCTTTCACGTCTCACCCTGTGTGCCTCGTCCCGTCGGTTTTTGCAAGGCTCTTGGTTCCTTTAACTTTGTTCACTTTAACTCGGTTCAATTGAATTAATGCTTGGGGTCCGTGCCCTCGGGGGGTCGTCCAGCTGTGGGGGAGGCAGGTGTGAGCGGCTCAGCGTACCGCACCGTGAGCAGCGCTGCCAGGAGAGGGTGCAGGCCTCGGGCACATTGACGGGGAAGCAGGGACGTCCACTGGGGACAGTCCGAGGAGGCTGCAGAGTGGAGGCCCGGGTGGGACAGCCTGGGTAAGAGCATGACGTGGGAACATGTTTGGGGACAAGTGGGCGCACTGCGTTATTCAGAGTGGATGTGGAACACACACACACACACACACACACACACCCCTTCAGATACACACGTGCATGCGCATGTATACGTGTGTATATGCGTATATATTTTTTCTCCTCCGGTAGGTGTGAAACCCTTCAAGTGTTCTTTGTGTGAGTATGCAACTCGTAGCAAGAGCAACCTCAAGGCTCATATGAATCGTCATAGCACTGAGAAAACCCACCTGTGTGACATGTGTGGCAAGAAATTCAAATCAAAAGGAACGTTGAAAAGTCACAAGCTCCTTCACACTGCCGATGGTGAGTAAGTGACTCCGAAGCGAGTTTTTTTTCCCTCTAAAAGTCTGGTTTGGAGCTCACTCTCGGTCCAGCAGAAACTGGACGTGCCTGGAGGCAGGGAGGGGCGAGCTCTGTGAGAATTTCTGCTCTGAGGGAGCAGCGAGACCTTGCCTGTGTCCTCGCTGCCCTGTGCCCAGTCCTGGAGCCAAGCCCGACTGCCCCCAGTGCTGGGAGAACACCGCGTGCGCGCGTGTGTGTGTATGTACGTACGTGCACGTGTATACACGCAAGTGCGCAGGGTGGGGTGGGTGGGGAACTGTTCAGGGACTGAGGCGTCCTCAGGAGGCCTTGGTCTTTCGTTCTAGAAGCTTTGATCCTCTTCCACCCTCCAAACCCAAGTGAGCCTGAGGATCTGGAGGGTGTCCGTGACCGCAGCTAAGCTGGCGTTTCCAGGGGGCGCCACCATCCGGGCTACGTCACGGTGTCCGTGATCAGTTCAGAAGGCGAACAGTATTGAGGCAGGTTTGACCTTGCTAAAGTATCCTCAAGTGGATTTCATTTCCTTCATTCATTAAGAGCTGTTGCTGGAGTTCCTGCTATGAGCCAGTGGTGAAGAGGGTTCCAGGCGGACAGGGTCAGGAAGGCAGAAAGCCTTCAAGGAGCTTCTCTCCCATGGGGTGGGGGAGGGGCATGCTGCTGCGGTCCCCGGTGCTGTGATGGGGGCAGTGTGGGAGCCCAGGGGAGGCAGCGGGAGTCCTCGTGGGTGCAAGGGGTGGTGGTCATGGTGGCCAGGAAGGTCACCCGAGAGGGGATGGGTAGAGGGAAGGAAGGTGGAGCTGTTTTGGCAAGACAGGCAGCGAAACCTAAAAGAACTTTAACATTAAAAAAATTTTTTTTTTTAATAACAGTTGTGTGAGGGACTTGTGAGTATTTTATGTAATGAGATTACAAAACTGTGTTTATGAACATATTGTTATTTTAGCATAGTTAGATATAAGAATTGGAGTTCATGATAAACATCAAAGTGATTTTTGATTTCAGGCTTCGTAGAGGATGATAAAGCCGTTAGGCCCTGCCTTTGTTTTAAGAACGTTCTGGACAGGTGTGTCCTGCTGTGTGTGCATGGGTAGGTTCCGGGCAGGTCTGTCCCGCCGTGAGTCTAGCGGGTGGGTTGATGGGAATACAGGTAATTGTGTGGCTTCATCTGGTCTGAGATGATCACTCTGCCCCAGGTGGCTAGGGCTCAGTTATGCATCATCTTTGCCACTTACCATAGTCTCTCGTTTTCCCAAAGCCAGCGTGGTGAGGGGAGGCCTGGGTGGTAGAAACGCTTGTTCTAACGCCTTTGATGATCTACTGTGTAGCTTTAGCCAAGCCATTGGCTATTCTTTCTAATTTTAAGAAAGCTTTGAAAACGGTTTAGTTGCACCTCATTCATTTTTCGTAGTGTGCACATGTTATCTTGTTGATTTCTAAAAGTTCTTGGGATCTCAGTGCTTTGTCATATTTTGTGACTATTTCCCTCCAACCTGTCATTGCTTCTACATTTTGTTTACTGTTTCTTTTTCCATACAGATGATAACTTTGCATATTAATTTTTTTTTCCTTTATGTTTTGTTTCTCTGTGATTTTTCTTTGTTAAAAGAAACCTTCCCCATCTTAGGGGGAAATTCTGTTTTCTTCAAGTTTTATTTTATGGTTTTATCACATTGGTGAAATTCAATATTCTTGGAAAGTTATTTTGGTGTATAGTAGAGATCTCACTGTGTTTCCAAGCAGTTATCAATCGATTCAGCATATTTATAGAGAAATTGATCCTTTTCAATTTATTTTAAAATGCCAGAATTTCTCAAGATGTTCAGTCTGTTCTGAGGTTTTGGTCTATTTCAGTGGTCTTTGTTCTAGTACCTTGTTTTATAAAATATTTTTAATAACTAAAATTTTATCATACACTATTTTTTTTTATGGGCATCTCTTAGTTCTTCTCATTTAATTATTATTTCTTTGGATAAACTTTGGAACCATTTGGTCAAGTTAAGAAGAATATCTTGTCTTCCTTCCTTGACGGTGGCCTTGTGAACCATGTGACAACACCTCAAACATGCTTTGATGTCCCTGGGGAAGTGTGCTTGTACTGAGGGTTTGGTAGCCCCAGGACACGAAAAGGCTCTCAGCCTGTAACCATAGAATTAGCTCTTTATTTAAAAGCAAACGTTGCTTTAAAGCTTTCCTGAAATGGCTGATTTTAAGCATATTTATTGTATCAGGAACAACGCAATAGATTATTCCACAGTCGGCTGCACTCTGTCTCTGCATGCACCCCTCCACTCTGCCTGGATGCCCCTCTCCACAGCATGGGTCTCCTGCCCATTCCTCGACCTGCCTGGTATGGGCCTGTCTTGGGGTAGTGGCCTGCCCTCTGCCTGGCAAGGTCGCCCCCCCCAGGCACCTGATCGGACTCCGGGCTCATGGCCCTCAAGTCTGAACTCGAGGCTCCCTTCCTCAGCTGGCCTTCCCCAGCTCCTTTGTTTCGAAATCTCACACCCGCCCAGTCGGCCGAACTGCCTTGTGTTTCTGTTTTCCTTCCTGGCGCATCTTTCTCTGGTGCGCTTTGTAGTTTCCTAGTTTCCTTATCCGTCTTTATTATTATTATTATCATTATTGTTACTGTTTCTACCGCCGGAAGTGCCACACCCGTCACCTCAGCCCCACTTCTGTGTTTCTTCTGTTTCTCCTTCGCGCCTTCTCTGATGCTGTGTGGTTTCCGTGTTTGTGATTCTGTGTCTTCCACTAGGCTGTAAGCCCCACCAGCAAGGACTTCTGACTTATTCTATTTCTTTTCGACCCCCAGCACCTAAATCAGTGCCTGATTTATAGGAGGTTTTTGTTGATTGAGTTTTTATTGATCGAATGAGTGAAAAACAACGTAAAGTGCCCTGCACGAAGAGCTTGGGATGTAACAGCTCTCAGAAGGTGCCAATTATTTGCCCCAGCTCATCGCTCAGATAGTTACATTAAATCAAATGCTTGTGAATTAGATATTTTAAAATAGGGGAGAGGAACTATTAAACGCATCTTCTTGGGCATCTTTTAATTGAGTAAAAACGATTGAGTAATGACCCTCTCCTCTACCTGCTTGTGAATCTGATTTTTCATGTTTATTTTCTTTTTTAAAGGAGTGTATCCCTGTTTATCCATTCCTGTTTCCCAGAGGAGCTTATCACTGCACCTTAGAAGGGGTAGGTCAGCCTGGGTCAAGGTTCCTGTTCAAAAGTTTTGCCAGTCAATATGCACAATGAGAGACATTGATCTCTACAGGGCCCGATTAAATCCTTTGTGTGTACGCCAGCAGTATGCAAGAATTTAATGCAAAAATCATGCCATATCATGTTTTCTCTTTTGAATTTAAAGAGGGCCTAGACATGGTATGTGGTCTAGAGGTTTATCTGTGGTTTTGCTCACCCGTAGCAGAGGGGGAGAGGTTAAATGGTACCGTGCCATTATGTTACGTAATCAAACAAGAATTCTCTAATCATGAAACCAAAGCTCTTTGAAGTTCATTGCCACTTCCTTTGGGTTCCCTGTCCCCCGATCCAACCTGCCCTCATACACTTGAGTTAAGATGTTTTCTGGTAAAATTTACAAAGAGAATTATCCAAGCCTCAAGTGCTCTTGTGCGTGTAATAGTTAGACAGGCAGAGAGCTGAGTGTGGGAATTAGGTCTGAGCGGGGGAAGTACCGCTTTCCTCACTTCTCCAGTTTATAGCGTGAGATCCCGTAGCCATGTGTTGAAATATCCCAGGCGGGTAAGTGTGGAGTTCGCTCCTCCCTCTTTCCTCTGAAAAGCAGACTCAGCTCTGGGATGAGGTAGCCGCACTAGTCCATGGTCTCTGTTTCTGAAGCGAGAAGTTCACACAAAATGGCACCTGAGCCACCAGCGGGTTGGTCTTACCAAGCTTTTATGAACGGTAAGAGCCGTTGGGAATAACTGAGCCCACATTATGAAGTGAACCATACAGCTTACTAAACGGGTAGCTTAGACTAATACACAGATTTAACCTCCGAGTAAAGCGTGGTTACCTAAACCGTCACCAGGGTGAGGGGGCTCTGCCATCACTTTCATCTAGTTCTGGTGCCGGGCTGTTTCCTGTTCTTTTATCCAATTCTCTTGTTTGTTGCCTTTTGTTTCTTTCCACGTCTCATGCTGATCTAGTTCTTCTGGTATCAAACCGATGTACTAATGACGGAGAGTCATCAGTCGCTTGAAGTTCAGCCTTTACAGTGCAGAGACTTCGTGAACTGCATTTTTATTGCTGTAGCTATTTCTGTTGCGATTCACCATGGCAGAAATCACCGCAGATGCTGGCACCGTGAGGATGCTGGCTCTGCAGACGCCTGCCGCCGAAGGCCTGCTGTGCTTCCCGCTGGGCACTTCCCTCCCCTCGGCTGGCAAACCCGTGTGCCAGGCTACGCGGAGAGGCAGCGAGGCAGGATGGGTCACGCGGGCTCTGGAGGGCCGGCCCAGGTCGGAACCCTGTCCAGCCGTGAACAAGCACTTTGCCATCCGCGCTGGAGCGTGGGCGGGTTCGTGTCCTGTGGCTGCGGTAACAAACTGCCTCACTTGTAGTGTGTGACAGCTGTTGAGGTCATATGTCTCGCAGCAGCAGGGTGTCAATGGAGCCTCGCTGCTGGCGGCTCTAGGAGGCAGTCTGTTTCTTCAACCTGCCCAGCTTCTGGAGGCCGCCCGTGTCCTGGCTGGGAGCCCCTTCCTTCGTCTTCAGAACCGGCAGCTCTGCATCTTCCAAACGCGTTCTGACCCTTTATTTCCATCATTCCATCGCCTGTCTGACTCTGATCCTCCTGTTTCTCTCTTGTAAAGACTCCTACAATTTCATTCATTCATCGGGTCCACCCGAATAACCCGGGGTCATCTCCCATCTTAAGATCTTTAACTTGATCACATCTGCAAAACTCCTTTTGCCATAGATGGTGACATTTGCAGGCTCGGGGGGGATTGGCACCTGCGTCTCTTTGGGGGAGGACGTCGTCAGCCTCCCGCAGTGGGACGTGGGAAGCTTCCCTGGGTCGTGCAGGGTGTCGGGCGGACGTACGTGTTCCCCGTGCTCGGCGTTCTCGGTGCCAGCAGCTCATGACGACACATGTGAGTATGGACGTGCGTCGTGATCAGTCTGCTTCATCCCCATCGTTTAGGGAGGATCACGTTACGCTTCTCACATGTTCTCTCGTCAGGAAGGCAGAGCAAAATAGTTAATGTTTTTTTTGCAGAGTCGACACCGCCTTCCTCCGGAAGACTGGGTGAAGTCACGAGAAGGCACGTTCATGTTCATTACTCAGTAACAGTAGAGATTTGTGGAAGTTTGCTTCTCTGAGTACTTTAGTGTACCTTCAAATTTGAGGTACACCTGAAGTTTCATTGGGCAGGGACGATTTAATTGGACAGGTGTTTCCAGAGAGCTGCCTTACACCGGGAGGAAATGCCCCTCAGTGTTCTTTCTCCGTGTTCTGAGGGGGTCCGGATGCCGGGACGTGACGTGAGGAGGATGGTCTGTTTTTGAGCTGGTTTGAGATTTCCCTACCGCCCCGTGCCGCCTCAGTTTCATGTAGAGCTCTGTTCAGAGTAGCCGAGCAGCTGGGACCGGCCCTGGGGACCTCACCCAGCAGCCGAGGGTGTAGTGAGACACGAAGGGGAGCAGGTGCCCTGCGGTTTCTGGGTGCTCTTCCACAGGCGGGGGCTTCGCACATCCGAAGGAGCCCTGCAGCCGCCAGCAAGCGAGGGGTGGGGGCAGCTCCCCGCACCTCGGCAGTGCTTCCCGAGCACAGGGGCCTCCCGAGGCAGGGCTCCCCCTCCCCTGCCGCAGGAAGGAATTCAACAGAAAGAGCGTCCTGACCCTTCTAGGTTTGGGGGCACCTCTCTTCGTGTAACCCAAGGCAGAATAACAGGCCTTCAGATCCCGCCCCCTCTGTGCTCTTAGTACAAGCGTAATGACTTTCTGCCCGGGTGAGACCCCAGGAAGGGACAGAGCTTGGCATGACCTGACTCTACGCCCTCTGCTTCCCTTTCCTGTCTGGTGGGACTCGGATGCAGCAGACATCCTGTGGCCTGGTCCAGCCACTGCTCTACAGGTCGGGGGTCAGCTTCGTTCCATCCGCAAGTTACCTGTGAAATGCTGGCTGGAGAACTGATGTTAGACAGAGATGCAGACGCCTTCCAAAGACAGATACAGATTCTGAAAAGATGGTAGAGCACTCTTTTTGTGGGATGAGCGGTAATGGAGATGACTCCCCCTCCCCGCCATCTTTGAAGGAGAGTTAGCTGTAACAGATCACGTATGTTGAAGGGAATAAGCTGGCGGGTGAAATCTGGTGTTTCCAGAGCACGCCGCAGTATCTGCAGTGGAGCCCTCCAGCAAGCCTGGCGCTCGAAAGATGCCGACGTGGAAATGTCAGGGGCAGGCAGTGCTGAGTGTGCCTTTTTTCTTTCCACCTGCAGCAGCAGCCAGCATCATCCACATACTGTCATGACACCCTCAGGCTTCATCTTTGAACTGCCTGACACATCTTTTCTTTCTCGAATTTTGTGCCAGTTCCAAAGCTCCTTCTGGAGAAGGCAGCCCCACTGTTTTTAATTTTTTTTCTTTTATCTTTTTAAAATTAAAGTATCACACATGTAGAGAAAATCGCGTGGTTGATAAGTGTACGGCTCAGTGAATTATCACGAAGGAAGCGCGTGCGTGTAGCCACATCCCAAGACGAAGCGCAGGGCATTGCTGGGCCCACGGGCGCCGTCCTTTCCCCTCCCTCCCCATCTGTCCCCTTCTCTCTCCTCGGGGTAGCTGTTTCCTGGACTTCTGACACGATAACTTCGTCTGGCCTGTCTTTGCACTTCGTATAAATTGATTCGTATCACGTGTGCTCTTCCGTGTCTGGCTTCTTCCTTTTACCATTACATGTGCGAGGTTAATCTGAGTGCTTATGATTTTCACCTTTAACATCCGGGCCTCTGGGTCAAATAAGACGAACTCCGTAAGTAACTCAGATTCTAAATTCTGTGGTTTGTAACTGGCAAGGCTTTGCTCCTACGACTAGCTGCTTTCACTGTGGCCATGTTTTGCAGAAAGCTTGCGGTACTTTCCTGGAAGAGTGTTTCTCCAGAAAGTCGTGTATGACTCGTCTTTCTTCTGTCCTCTTGCCAAAACTCGGCTCAGGATGACTTCTGACTGTTGACAAAAGTTAAATCCTGCCTCAGAAGGCAAGGAATGACCATCCCCGAGATTATTCACAAAATGAGGCCGCTGTGTTTTTGAAGGGGCCAAGGTGCTTGGTTAGAAAGATCACCAATAAATTACCATACAGCCAGGCAAGGCTGGGGGCATGTTTTAAAAGACCGTGAACTCTTTTGAACTTTAAGTTCAGGAACTTTTGATATCATTTTACGGTTCTCTTTTGAAAGACCTATCTTTTGGATTATGTACAATAGCGGATGAGATGAAACATCCTAGCATTTCAGAGGCGGATGCGGATAATCTAAAATGCTTTTCTGTTGCACAGGAAACATTAAAACAACACTCACAAAAACCTAACCCCTTCCCACAGGCGTACACACAGTTCTGTTCCCTAACAAAAAGGTCATTCTTATTAAAATTCTTTTTTGATCTTTGTTCATGTTCATATGGAATGATTACATAGTTGCCATTAAAGTATAAGTGTTGTTCTTACAGCCTTAAAATTAATGTTATGATTACTTTTTGTTGCTCTTGAGGCCGTGGATAACACATTTAAGAGTTGTATGATGACCCATTAAGGTGGTGATCGTGCGTTACATAACCATTCCTTTGTTTTTGGATACCGTATTATTTTCTTCCTGCCATTGTTATGATGCATGTTGCGGGAGCCCCTTCTTGCGTATGAGCTCTTCCTTCTTGTGAGTTAACTCCGTAGGCGCGTCTCCAGGAGCAGGATGGCCCTTTCGTCTGGGTGTTTGTAAGTGTGCAGCGTGCAGGCGTGCGAGTGCTCCAGCTTACCTCTTTCGTGGCTAGCACTTCGTGGTATTCAGGTGTTCAGTGTTTAGTTTAGAGGGCATCAGATCTTACCATGTTGTTAGGGCTGTTAGTCATTTGGTGACGCGTACCATCGGACAGCGTCGTCAGGATTAGAGGGATTATGTGAGTTGACGAGCACGGAGCGTTTGTGGCGCTGACCGGCCCGTGATGCAGCGTGTGTCAGCGTGTGCTGTCGCGGACTGCTTTTGATTCATTAACTCCACCCCTGAGCAGATCATTTGTCCGCGTCCTTTTCTGTCTGTTAGCTTTCCGGGGTCTTGGCGCGTCGCGTTCTCACGCTCACTGACACATTCCTGACCGCGGGGGCCCTCCGCTCCCTCCACACTTCTTCCCTGTCGTCGGCTGGTCACACCTGTACTGTTGCCTTAGGAGGCGGCCCAAGTTCACCGTCGTGGGCCCGCCCTGGGCAGAGCTGGCTGTCCTCTCCCTCCACGGCCGACTCCCTTCCGTCCCCCGTGTCTGCGTCCCTGCTTGCCGCTGCTCCCTGGGATTCCAGACGCAGACGGCGAGGGGCATCTCCGTGCGCCTGGCTCACACCTGGCGCCACGTTTGCACGTAGGAGCCGTCGGCCTGACCACCCTGTCCTTGTCCCCCCTTTCAGGGAAGCAGTTTAAGTGCACGGTGTGTGACTACACGGCGGCCCAGAGGCCACAGCTGCTGCGGCACATGGAGCAGCACGCCTCCTTCAAGGTAAGGGCTCGGGCGGGGAGCGGTGTTCCAGGTGGGGGCGCGCGGCCTCCGGAAGGCAGGCCAGGAGAGTGCCCGATCCTCTTAGCTTTGGTGTCCCCGTCACTCTCCGGCCCCTCTGCCAGCACACTGGGAGTGGACGGGCTGCAAGTAGCGTTTTGTGTCTCTGTCGAGTCCCAGAGCGCTGTGTAAGAGGGCGCCGAGCGGGGACGGGCTCAGTCCTACCACGAAAATGGAGTGACGTTGAGGAGAGAGGGCGGGCCGTGAGGACACGCGTGTGACATGTGCTTTCAGGTCCGGATCCTGCGGATGAGGCTCTGATCTGGCAGGTGTGGAGGTGGCCACCTGGCAGGCCGTCGGGAGAGCTGGAGACGGTGCTCCCGGGAGCCCCCCGCAGGGCCCGGCGTGTCGCAGGGCTCCGGGGATGGTGACTTTCCTGTCCCCTTAGTACCTCTAGTTGGTTTTCTGTAATGCAGGTGGTAGTTAGTGTCCACTTGGCCACTGCTTATGGCGCCATTATCAACGGTAACAACTGTGGTTCGGTGAATTTGTTTTATAAAAAATTTGGCCTAGAACGTGGCAACTTGACCCTTAAAAAGGAAGCGGATGCTGCTGCTGGCGTGTGCATGCGGAAAACGCGGTGCTCGGAAATGTCTGTTAAACTCGTGTCCCCCACCAGCTCCCAGAGAATGGCAGAAGGCGGAGGGCCTGCCAGTCACATGCAGATGTTGCGTTAACTGAGCATCTGCTACATGCCACACTGTGTGGGGAGCTTGACGCCCCTCAACTCTGATCTCTAATGAGAAGCTGAGACCAGTAGGTTAATTTTGTCCTTGTGACCCCAGAGTTGGAACTGGACTTCTCATTCATCCCGGGTTGTCAGCGTGGGACATTTTCCGCTCCTAGCCAGACAAAGCCGAGCAGTCCTCCCGCCCTGAGATCCTCACTGTTTTCTTCCTAAGCGGTGTGGACTGTTTGCTGTATGTGCAGAGGAAGTGGATTTGGAGATGGTTTGCTTTAAGAGGTCACCCTCACGGGTAGTTCTCAGCTTTTTGCTGCCGTCACCCCCGCTCCTGAGCGGTGTCCCCGCTGGGAGTGAGGTTCGGGCCTGAGTGAGAACCCGAAGTCCGCCTTGGCTTCTCGCACCCCGCGGGCCAAGTCCTGTCTCTCAGCTGACGGGCCGACACGGCAGAGCGAGTGGGCTCCTGCCGGCGCCTCGTCCCGACTCAGACTTCGCTTTCTCTTTCCTCTCTGCCTCCTTAGTTTCCTGTGTAGTTGGTTTCACGTAGCCGAAAACATCACACGTTTATTGTCTTAGAGTCTGTAGTTCAGAATTTCCACATGGTTCTTGCTGAGTTATAGTCAAGGCCGTGTTCTTTCTGGAGGCTCGAGGAGAAAATCCATTCGCTTGCCTTTTCTGGCTTCTGGAGGCCACCCACGTTCCTTTAATCCTGGCCCCTTCTTCCATCTTGAAAGCCAGCAACCTAGGATCCCTCATCTGTCCCCTTCCCTGACTCTCCTCCGTCTCCCTCTCCCACTTGCCAGGACCCTGTGATTACAGCAGCGCACGCGGATCGTGTCCTCTCGTGAGCTCAGATGGCAGACAGCCTTAATGCCACCTGTCGGCTTAATTCCCTTTGCCCTGTAAGGTCCAGAGATTAGGACGTGGACATGGGGCGGGGGGTCCTTAGGCTGCCTCCCACATTCCCGCACTCTTTTCTCTTCCTGTTTGTATCTACTCAGTGGTAGAAAACTTTCGTCAAACCCAGAAAAACATAGTACACACGCGCTTGTCCGTGGCCGAGACCTCAGCCCTCCGGGTCCCTAACCCTAGACGAGGCCTCGCAGCGTGTGCGCCGGCACCACTGATCTTTGCCGGTGGCTTGTGAGAGGAAACCCATCTGCTTTTCTCGATCTAGATGTGTGACTTGTAGTCTATAATTTGTGTCAGGAAACACTGTAATAAGGGCAAGTTTTCATACTGCCTTTTAAAATTACATGTTTTTATTTATATATTTTAAAAATAAAGTCAGCGTGTGTTCAGTAAATATGATTTGGAAAATGCTTTTTGGTTCCTTGTAGAATTTTGGGATAATTTTTTTAAGACATGATTGTGGTCACACTGGAAATGAGTGTTTTTTTGATGGGGATGGAAACGTCAGTTTTACTACTGATAAAGCTCTACTGGAGGACTTGGCTTGGACGAGTGGCCAGATGGTTTGCTAAGAATACTTCACTTCTGAGTGAGACAGCGTAACCTCCCAGTCAGAGGCAGGGCTGGACATCCTAAACGCTTTAGGCATTATAAATATTGTCTTTTTTATTTATCATTCTTTCATAGGCCTTTCCACATTTCGTGAAAATATATTTATTAATTTACTTTAAATGGTTGCTTAAGGATGACTGTCCTAGTTTAATTAACCATTCCCTCTAATTCAACAATTTGCTCATTCCCAGTTTTTGCTGTTCTGAAGAGTAGCTCTACAATGGCTGTCTTCGTGCCAAAAGCGTTTCTGTGTCATCCTAAAATCTAAAGGACTTTGAAACACTGGGCGAGGCCCATCAAACCATTGAGCTTCACAAACAGTGAAGGTGTTACATGGGATTCTTGCATCTGTAGTTAAAATGCATTCCTTAGGCTAAAAGTGACACTCTTAGCCTTAAAGAAGCACCAGAAAAGATGCTCGGGCCGGAGGAGCTGCTGCCGAGCCGGGCGTCTCCAGACAGAAAGAGGCCCGTTCTCCCAGTCTCGCTGCCCAGCCCGTTGCTGTCCCGCAGATAACAAGCCTGACACCGTCCCGTAAGGCAGTGTGGTCCGATAGGCAGGAGCCGCTCAGGAATTTTCTCCCATAGGCTCATGTGAACCCATAACTCTGTTGCTGGAGATGTTTTTAGTGGTAGGGCTGCTGATTCACTCCCAGTCTCCTTTGTGTGTGAGTAAAAAGTGACTTCATATTATTTAAAAAAAATTTTATTTTGACATTATTTTAGACTCAGAAGTCACAGAGAGTTCCTGTGCACCTATCACCCACCTTCACCCAATGATGAAATCTCACTTACTCACAGTCTGTTATCAAAACTAAGAAATCGATTTTGGTATATTACTATTAACTAAACGACAGACCTTGTGTGGACTTAACCAGTCTTACCTCTCTCTCTTTTTTTAATTAATAAGCTTTTTAAGGTCGTTCTAGGTTCACGGCAAAGTTGAAAGTACAGAGTTGCCATACACCACCTGCCTTCTCAACCCCCTATACCCAGCCCCCACCCCCATTCTCAACACCACACCAAAGGGGCATATTCGTCATAATCAATGAACCTACGCTGACACATCACAATCGCCCGAAGCCTATAGTGCATATCGAGGTTTACTCTTGGTGTACGTTCTGCGAGTTTTGACTAATTGCAGAATGATGTGTATTCACCATTTCAGTTAAAACGTCAACAGTCTACGGCCACGCCACCCTGAACAAGCCCGATCCCGTCTGATCTTGAAAGCTAAGCAGGGTCGGCCTGGTTAGTACTTGGATGGGAGACCACCTAGGAAGACCAGGTGCTGTAGGCAAAAAAGAAGAAAAAGGGGAATTGTAAGCTGACAAGGTCTTTGCAATCTATGAGATCAACCAAGGGTCGCCTCACCTAAAAAAAAAGTCAACAAATCCAGCTAAGGGCTATGCTATAAAATAGCTCATCAGTATTCCTCGAAAAATAGAAAAAGTCTGAGGAACTGTCACATCTGAAAGGGCCTAAAAAGATGTCATGACTAAATGTGATGTGGTATTCTAATGAGATCCTGGAATAGGAGAAGGAAATCTGAATAAAATGTGGACTTTAGCTGATGGTGATGTATTCATACTGGTTTATTAGTCGTAGAATGCTGCCTTCGATGTAAGTTTACATGGCACAGCTACTTCGGATGACAGTTTGGCATTTTCTCCCCAAACTGAATGTACTCTCACCATATGGTCCGGCAGTTAACCAAAGGAGTTTTCCCAGCTTCGCCCCTTCAGTGAGTAGCGGAGACGATGCTGCGGGAACGTGCAGACCTCGGGCTTGAGGGCGAAGCCCAGGTCCCCCCTCCCGCTCCCCCTGGGTGTGTAAAGCACACGAGCCCTCCAGCCCTCCAGCCCTCTGAGCCACCTGGGACTGGGCTGGGCTCTCTCTCCTCCCTCCTGCCTTGGCCCCCAGCCTTCAGCTCTGCCCTGCGGCTCTTGGTGAAGCTCCTCATTTCACAGGGAAGAGGTTGGTAGGTCACCATGCCAGGGATGAAAGTGGCCGTCAGTCTCTTTTCTCCTAGGCAGTGCTTGTCCCTTTCTGGAATTTGTGTCTTTGGCAGTCTGATGAATTTAAAAACGTGTGTCGTGTTGTTAGTTCGGGAGCAGCGGTCCCATGTGATTTTCCGCCTCCTACCTGGCAGCCGGAACGCCTCACCCGTGTGATCCTGACAGCGTCTGACACAAAGTGGGTGCCCAGTACACGCTCATGTGGACCCCCCGTCCCGCCTGCACTGGACACACAGAAATTTTGCCCGGAAGGAGGGAGCAAGGTGGGTGACTGCGGCAGCGACTGCTGCTGTCCCCAGTAGCTAAGCGGATTGAGTCGCCGGGCGCTCTGCCAGCTCTGCGAGGGCTTTGGCGGTGCCCAGGGCGGGGCGGGGAGCGCCTGGGAGATGCGCGGCCCTCGGAAGTGTGTCCGCGGGCGAAGCAGCCGCGTGCGGCTGTGGTTCGAGCGCGCGCCTCACAGCACAGGCCCTTCCTTTTCCGATACTGTACGTCGTGGCTCTGGTCAGACTTAGAATCCCGCCTTGCCGCTTACTTCCTGTGTGGCCTTGGGCAACAGGGTCTGTTTGCTTATGGAGTGCAGAGACCCCCTAATTCCACTGATTTGTTCTATTCCTTTAAAACGTGCCTGATCGCATAAACGTGTCACTTAACCCAGAGAACCCTTCACGAGGCGCATTTCCCACAGAGTTCTTTGTAAATTCGCCTCCTCCTGACAGCGCC